TTTGCTGCCGGCGCGGCGGGGTCATTCTCCCGCGGGTCCACCGGTGGCGGCGCTCGCATGCCGATCGCCACGAGCCGCGTGAAGTCCGGGGTAATAACCATGTGTGCTACACGCACAGGCAATATACCCCAGACGTCCCGTCGTTGGCCCTCCGTGTTCTGCATGTCATAGTTAGCGTGGCGTAAGGCGTGAAATAAAGCACGGGAAACATACCCAGAGGACGATCTTATAGTCCATCCCCGCGGACAAGAAGCCCGAGTTGTCTGGAAGCCAGACCAGGGCTGTGACCTGTTCTGAATGCTCGTCCAGCGTCCGCAGACATACCCCGGTCTGCAAGTAGAGGTAAATAAAAAGCTCGAATAAAGGGTGGTTACAAACCTTGGCATTCCACATCTTGATGTGGTGTTCCGAACCAGCGAGTAATATCGAGTCGTCCAATGACCAGGCCATAGATATTACAGGGTACGGATGAATCAATACATGCCGCTGCTCCCACTCCTCAGGCTACAAAGTCGCGTCAGTAATGTCCAGAAAAGTCTCGAGCAACGTACCCCAATGCCCCAGATAATAACGGACTTGTCGCTACTTGAGCTCGCGAGGAAATTACCATCGTGACTCCACTCGAGCATCCACACCTCATCACTGTGGACCTTCAATATCGTTGTTGTCACGCGCGGGAAACCAGTCTCATCACACTGGTGGTCGGAGAATAGCGAGAAACCCGTCGGGCTGGTGGGCACATTATGATATACACACTGTTGTCGCTGGTAGACATTTGCCTGGTGTAGCAATGTCGAAAATCGCCTTGGAGGGACCATTATTGATGGCGGGATATAACCTGAAGTAGAGTTGATGTTACTGGTGTCATTGAAAGGAGACGCGTTTACGCACGTTGTAGATTGTCTAGCAGTATTCGCCGTGAATTTCCTGCTGCGCCATCCCACCCTGCGCGTTGTCGTAAATCCTCCGGTTCCGAACACATCATTAGGCTGCAGTAGTGTTAACGTCATTGAATTCAGGCGCCGCTGGGGATCGTACCTAGCGAGAGTATGTAGCTGCTCGGAATCCACGTCCAGGGGCGCGAGTTCATTTCGGAGGACATGCAGTGCATCAGTCGTCTGCTGCGCCTCCAATAGTTCCAGATATTTCTGCTGACTTATTAAAAACCGTGCGTCCTGCGGAGTCAAACGGGTCAGTTGGCGTGCTTTAAGGCATGTAGTCGACCATTACCCAAAGACCCTCGCGATCTCGCACGCCGAGACGCTGTAGTGCATTCTCTGCTTTAGACCACCGAGCCTCGAGAATAAACCGCCGGAAATCCGCGACGTCGGAGGTTTCCATCGTGTACCCTGATTCCGCCTCTAGGGTTGCGGCGCTTTCACTAGCCGAGAACCCCCCGATAAGCATGCCTGAATGAGAGAACTGGACCGGAGAACGCACATATAACCAACATCTCGGAGGCTCTGTATTACAAGCCTTACAAACTCTTCCCGGTCCACATCCGAGTCGTCATATAGACTTGAGCCGGGTAGTGTTACACGCGCGACCGAGAGCGAGTGGGAGGGCGCAGACGACTGTTTCGAGTGGCCATTGTGCTTCTGCAGTCCATTTCCCACTGCATTGGCTCCGTTGGTGACTGCAGCGAAGCCGTTCCCATTCAGATGACCGTTCGAGGGTCCCGGGTGATCGAGACCAACCGACGACGGGCCCGCCACTGCGTCCAGAGATGTAGACGAGTCTTCCGCTTGTTCCGACTCAGGAAAGCGCATTGTAGTATAAGTTCGTGAAGAAGAGGGATCGATTGGGAGAGTGCTAGTGGAGGAACTCGGACTGCCGATGCGCTGCCGCTTGCGAGCGCGGGAGGGCTCTGGCTCTGGGTTCAATGGATGGGGTGGGTTAGTCGGAATATTCCCCAGGGAGCTGGTGCACACGGTACCGGAGAGAGTGGGGTCGGAGGTAGATGAAGTGCTAGAATAGTCTAGCTCTGACCTGGGACGGGTAGAGGGGATGAGCGATGCCACAGCGGGAGACGGCTCCCGCGTAGGACGGTGGCTGGCAGGATCAATGGTGGCTGAACGGCTGCAAGCTAGGTGGTAGGAGGAAGAAAGACAAAGAAAGCCCGGAACGATCCTGCCCGCGACTACATAACAAGCTCGACTATCAACAATTCATCCTCCTCGTGTGCCCTTTACAATAGCCAGCGAGTCAAACTTTCTTGTTTCATGTAGTACTGAGTATACAATAAATGCGGTCTGTACATTTGCGTTGGTCGGTGAGCTCCTCAACAAGTCTTCATTGCGGCCTTTCGGTCCGCATCACCACCTCTTATCATCTCCATCTTGCAGCGAGGCCAGCTAGGCGGCCGAGTGCGAGGGGCGTGCAAGGGCAGCATTGTGCGCGACGTCCATGCAGGTAGAGCGAGGAATTGGGTGGCAGCCGAGAAGACCTTGCGGGGGAACACGCCCAGGAAACTCGTAGATCAGAATGCTGCAAAGGTTCATCGTTAGGGGCGATCCGCACACAAATCGCCGCGTATGAACAATACCAGACGTCACAGGGAGAGGTGACGCTTGAAATACCACCGACGTCGAGCCTCTAAATAATCGAGAACAAATCGGGTTTGCCCGGGTAACGACGGAAATTTCGCCAGATAATGAAACACAACCCACGATGCCTTAGGTCGTTCTAAGAATTGGACAGATGATGTGTTCGAACAATAATTCCGGTGAGACAGTCAGGAGATACGTCTGGTGTGCCCAATAAGTTCAGTTGAAGCAGGAGTGGCGGCTCGATATGGGGCTTTCGAGGGTCAAAACTTTTGAGATTTCAAAGGCAACTTGCGAGAGCAAGTCAGCCAAGGTTTGAGCTGGGGTTTGGAAGCAACTTGGATCTTTGAATATTCGGTTTGCTCTGCTGGACGAGCACCGAGAGGAAGATAACATGAGCTCGTAAAGGGACATAACAACTAGGCCCAGGAGCACATACGCGTAATGCAGCCACGACCGTGGATATCGACGTGATGGCAGAAGACAAGGCGCAAACAGTGGCTGTGTACGCGTTGTCGCTTCGCCTCAACCTGCCTCAACCTTCCACTTTCGATGTTCGGTTTCCTCACAGTTGCTCCCCAGGTCGTAACTGGGTACGTCGTCGGCCGACTGGAAAAATATCTGATCGAAATGCACCCGTCCATGCTCGAAGGGAAAAGTTCAGATAGTAAACAACATGCTCTAGTATCGAACGCTTTCAAGCAGCTGAAATTCAGGTTGAACCGCCCCGATAATCGGAGGCTGCTCTTTGTTGAGAATCTATCTGGGAGATTTTACTGCAACGTCAGAACAAGCCACCGCTCGCCACCATCAGATTGGTGCGCCGGCTTCAGTTGGCTACCCCAAGCTTCCAAGTCTAATTCACTTCGACCATTTGTAAGTACAACAGCGTAAACTTGTTCAAGATTGGGAAGGCTCGGAATCATCGACGTCAGCAGTGATGGTTCAGCGGTAAGAGTCTTCTGGGGGCTTCAGTCATTCATTCTATATACGCTGTATCTGGTCCAAGGGCTACGCAGCAATACTCTACAGTAAGTAGGTAGGGGTTCTGGGGGCTTGCGGGCTCTCGATATGGCTGCACCTTGAGAGACCTCTCGAAGATCTGACTTAAGTACATTACAGCCTATGCTACCCTAATGTTCTGCTTGCACCCAGACACAGAGGAACCCTTGGGTGCCATTCTTGAAGCCCTCCCATCCAGCGAGGGATAGCGGTACCTAGGAAGGATAGGGTTTTTGGTGGGATGGTTGGACTCCTTTGGGAACAACTTGCTCTCATAGAAAGGAACGTGCATACCTACCATTGCCTCCTTCCAACACAGGATAACATTGTCCTTATGCTCAACTGTTACGGAAAATTTTCCTCTGCGCGGGCGATTAAATATGGACTCCGAGTCGATCACGGAGAGTTCTCACGTTGAAAACATATTGATCTTCTTCAATTTTCTTGCACAGACAGCTCTGGTTGGATTCCTCTAAATTTTGGATATACTGCTTGTACAGCATTTCTCACTGTCCCCCCGTTTTTTTAGAGAATATTCGAGAGAAACTGAGATAATTATCCGAGGTTCAACATCAAAGTCTGTGATTTTTGTCCTTTCGAACTCTCCTTCCTTTTTAACCTTGCTTTGTACCTTGTGCTCAATATCGTGCAGGTTCCTGATGGCTTGAAGAAAATCACAAATCTTTATCCTCCTCTGAATGGTAAGATCAAAAGTCAATGCCAACCGGCTTTTACAGTCTTTATATGAGCACTTGCGCGACTTGCGCGATGCTGGCAAAATCTGTGAATATTCTAAACCCTGCAGTTCTTTCAATGTTTTCAAATTTTCAGGGAAAAAGATGGTCCGAATACGAGACTGTGAGTTGGAATATTGGCAGAGTTCCCGGTGTACATGCAGAGACTTTCTCGAGATGTGCGACAACACAATATACCCATTTTAGTGCCTGTGTTGCCCAGAATTGAACCACATCTCAGCCAACAAGTTTGAAGTTCAGGTTCAAATTTGCCCATCTGTTGAGACGTCCCCAACGCTCGCTCCGTCGATGCAGCTCGCATCAGGTGACGAAGGTTTGAAGCAGTTCAACTATTTTGTGAATGTGTTTCGTAGCCGTTTGCACACCGGTGCACCGCTTCAACCAAGGTTCTAGTCCAGCCTCGGACCCCTGTACATGTCAGGTGTAATCTTATCTGTATGCACATCTTTGGTGTTCGTAGACCCCTAAAAGGCATTGACAGGCAAGCGGGTTCCCTACGGTATTTGGTGTGATCTGTCTACTGTAATGTTATCGAGCGTATTTGGAGGTGTCTACTTTTTTCTTTTCTTTTTGGCAAATTTCCGTAAGCTTAGAGCCCTTTTGTGTCAGGGGCTAAAGCGAAGGCGACGTCGAGCCTGAAAAATTATCTAGCAGATGCCCCGCAGGATACAGCAATTTCCTGGAGTGGCCTGATATTGGCCCAATGGTCTAGAAGTATGATACTCCCTTCGGGTTTCACCCGCTTGCGTTGTGTAAGCTGCATGGGAGTGGTCCCGGGTTCAATTCCCGGTTGAGCCCTGCTTTTTACCATTTATTTATATTTTTTTTCGTGTCTTTACAGCCTCCGACACTCCCTCCTGCGCCCCCACAATCTTTTCGAAGTTTGTGAAGTTCAGGAAACCCTGCAAAATGACTTTGATTACAGGCGGATGATGTGTGACAATTCGCGCTGTCACTGACCGCCATCAACTGCACCAAATCCAACTCAACACCAAGGGGGCTGATTTTATCAGTTGCTCATTAGAGCAGTCCTGAAACGGGTTGAACACATTTTTTTCATCACAAGTCGCACCGGTATTAATATTTTTCGGTTGTGGAGTTGAGTGAGAGCTTACGGTATCGATGACAAGCGGTCGAGTGCGGCACAAGAGGTGCTTGATCTCTGGATCGTGGAATTCGATTAGGTAATGTGATGCGATCAAACGGTGATGGCCGGCAGCCTTTGAATATTGCTTGCGACTGGGGTTCTGACGATTTTGGGCGGCGCAGCGCACCGTGAAGTCCAATAAACGACTTGTACTCGCCACGATGTGTGCTGCAATTTCTGTGCAGACGTTCGGTGGGCACAAGTGGTGCCGTGTTGATGCCGCTGACTCAGAATTGCCTTTTTTGGGGGGAGGGAGGGTCGTGGGAATTATTCCATGATCCAGAGATTGAGCACCTCTTGGTGCGGCAATTTTTTGGCGTATCGCTGAAAAAATTCATACATACCTGAGGAATGGCCCTGCCGGGCGGAGCCTGGATACGTTCAGCACTGTAACGAGCCTAAACCAATATAAAAAACATCATACAATTTCCAGTACTACTACTGCCTTTAATAAATGCCGTGCACGAGACCCCAACATAAAAAGGATTCTCCTGTCACCTTCATCTATATGCAATGACCCTGGTTCCAGTACTTCATCCAGGGCAACATGATAGATGACCCTGCCATGGTCTCGCACCTGGGCTGTCTTTCCCTCTGACAACGGTGATCAACAAATAAAAAGTTCTCTATAGGGTTCCTTGGAAGTAACATTGTTCATAGGAATGACCTGATTGGGGAAACCTCTCAATAATCCCAATTCACAAGAATTAGGAGCGGTGTGGTGCTGACGGAAAATGGCAGTGAAACGGTACAGCGAAAAACGGAACGGGAATGGAACGGTAACGGGAAAGCGCGTACTAAAGAGCTTGATCGGCAAGCTCAGTGATAAGTGCCTCAACGGCAGGCGGAGCGGGCAGAATGGTGTCGGGCAAATATGGTTGGATGTGCGTGGATGTCGTGCACAAGACTAAAAAACTCAAGGAGTTGCACGAGTAGGCGAAGAAAATCAATTTCTAACTACGCGGTAGTGGTTATGGGTTAAGATAGATAGATTATATAAATGGACTCAGGGCCCTTTATATACTGCATGTAATGACTTAACATGATTCACCCTGACTCACTTTGACTCATCTCTCTTTTCCGTTCCATAAAATTCCGGGCCGGGAACGTGACTCAGTGTGACTCGACATGTTTGATGATTTGTACGCGCATTTTCTCGTGAACCCAAAATGTACTGGCTGGATGTACTTCCAAGCAAACAATTTTCTGGTATGTAGGACATCTGCAGCAGACAATTAAATTCTGGCTGTCCCCAGCCATACAGTTCAACGGACCAGTACATTTTGACTATAGAATTGGCGGTGGCGTTATAGGCTAAGCTTCGAGGCAGAAAACGTAATACGAGTGCGAGCCTGACGTTTGGCAGTAAGCCAGTAACTAGCCTTTTGAATTACCCTTTTGGCCTTAACCTTGAACTTCTTTGATTGAGCCGAATGACGGAGTTTCACCTGAACAGTCGCGAACTGGCACATGTTATCGTTCATCCAAAACCACTCCCTTTGGGTCCATCTTGGTCCACCTCGTTACGCGCCATTCACCTTCCAAATCCCCAACACAGGTCATAAGGAACCCTGAAGCCAGTGGGTAGGTGGGATAAGTTATCAAGTCATAGAACTCGTCCTGAATGTGGACGATCATAGCCGGGAGTCAGCATTTAACAACACGGTCAGATGAAGTGGCTGGAGCAAAGGGAGGGTTCTCCTTTTTGTATTCACGATAGCGCTCGCGTGTGAGGAATTCCCATTCATCTTCTTCTTTATCGCTGAGCTGCCTCGGTTTCATGATCAGAGGCTCACAACAAATTGTGTCCCGCAAGTATGCGACTGGGAGATCCGAGGCTGATTTGGTAGGATGGTTAAAGGTGCCTCCTCCGGTGGCATAGGTTGGGTGGGGAGCTTCACCGTACACGCTTTCGTGCAGCGACATGCGGGAAGCAGAATATTCTGCTCTTCCGTACAGGGGATGGACAAAAGAGAGATTCCAGGGGTGATGGATATCGTAAAGGTGTTGAGCGCGCTGAGTGTCGGAAGTCACTGTGTCCTGTTCATGAGTTCATGATGGTTATGGGTTTAAAGGAATCAACGAAAAGACTTGTTCAGCTTATACGTACCTGGTCAGAAGCAATACTTCTCAATTCCGCCACATCACCATAAGATTTGCTAGCCCGCCTGGCCATCTGGCTGTAATAGTCATATGAGTAATGCACTATTCAGTTGTCGGGTTGTGCTGAGAAAGTGCGGGGCACGGGGCAGAGAGGTTCTCAAAAAAAAACATTGCCTTTAAGTGGCCATGGCGGTTACGATTTCATAGCTTTGCTCATGTTTTTCCTGCTTCCATTCATTCCAGGCTTTCCTTTTCTTTGCTTCTGGAATTTCTGGCCTTCTAATTTTAAACTTTCTCGCCGAATACTCTATCAGAAATGATGAGTTGAAATTGCCCTGCCGGCCGCTTCCTGCATCTTTTTCAAGCAGCACACAAATTATTGAGCCAATATATATGCACGCAGTCATTTTTCTGAAAACTCTCTGTATCCCGTTGATTCCTTGCCAGCATCACAATGTTGCGTTCCAAACTGTTGACTTGTTTGAATATCCCCTGCCTATCGGAATCCGGTGGCGTGATTGGCGGAGGGTGGAACATATGGTCTGATCGTTTCAGGTTGATTCAGAGTATAAATTGTACGCATGATGAGGACTCACCCAGTCTGTCGTACACTCCCCAACCTAAAAAGCCTTTGGAGAGACTTAAATCCAATTTCGATCTCAAGTGTCCCTAGGCTAGTTCCTGCTGCTACGTGCCCGTCCACCAACCCTCCAGAATACCTGTTAGGGAGGGAGTACTCCAGATGGTCAGGTGGCTGGCTGAACGCCCTTCCGAAACTGCCGACAACTGTGGGGCCGCGGTCTACCAACTCACGGATGACAACGGCAGGGGTAGGAATGACCAGGATAATAGGATTGGGCTTGAGGCTGAGGTAGTGATGGGCTCGGATGGCAAGGTGTCCTGGCATGTCATACGTCTCTCCATAGTTCTGATACAGGAGAACCTTCATTTCTAACGCTCCCTCCGTTTCATAGGTGTAGTTGTCGGTCAAGCTTACACCGCGGTCGAGGTCGACCACTCAAAAGCGTGGAAGGATGGTGACATGGTTCTGGTTAACCATATCTGGGTGCATGACCCCTCCACATTCCACCAGGCGGAGGACTGGCAGCGGGGTAGTGACGGTGGTGTGCAGTTTACAAGAGTTGCTTGAGCGACTAGTCATGGCGGCATATTGGGAAGGCGTGGAGTATAAGGCCATGTGTGGCGTTGGGAAAAGAACGTAAGGCTTTCCAAAAGAGCTGGTGAGGCGTACAGGCAGCCACCTGTCTTCTTTAGCCAGCCCACTGGAGGAGTCTGACGGCAATTAAATCTGGATTTTCAGGGTAGTGAAGCTAAAACGTTGTGACAGAGATGCATGATAGCATCAAATCTGACTGAGTCACCAGCCATCCATGTGGCCTCTGATCAAACTCTTTCGAGACTTGATCATTCTCCTTCAGTGGATTCAAATAATTCCTCGTCCCCATCTGAGTCAGTGTCTTCATCTCCGCCTTCGTTCAGCCATCCGTGTCTCATAAACCAATTGACATAAGGATAAAGCCAGAAGGCTGCAGTGTTGTTGCGCAAAATGGTACCATAAAGCTCTTGAAGAATATACGCTCCTCCGCGGTTTTTACTTACCACTTCAAAAGGTCTGAAATAGCGGTCATCGGTCTTCTTTGTGGAACAAACTTCAGTTTCGATGGCCACATTTTGCCTAGCTTATACGCGTCTTTTTGAAGCTTCTCCAGAAAATGCTTCTCGAAATGCTGCTTGGACCGGAAACGCGACTTTCGCAAGGGATCGACTGCGCGTTTGACATCCCGCTCCTGCTTAGCAAGCTGGCAAATCCGCAAGTTCAATAACTCTTCAGTAGTCATTCCTGACCTAAATCTGGGAACTAGGAACATAGCTTCAGTCAAGTCGAATGGCAGGATCAGATCAGTTCCGTGGAGTAATTGGTAGGCCGAAAAGCCATGACCCTACTTACAGTAATTTGGTCTGCTAGAAGGGCGACAGTTAATTTTTCGAGCCACAGCTCAATTCTTCCTCTGCAAGACTTTACGATGGCTTCGCGAAGCATGAATGACCTTGTTCAACAACTCCGGTGGCATGCTTGTTGGAGGGTGAAATCCGGACATGTAGTATCTCCATTCACTTCATTAGTCTCGTGAAGCCAGCCTTCACTTCAGGCCCGTTACTGATTATCACTCTGCAAGGGCAACCGTACTGACAGTAGATGTACTCCCAAAAAAGTTGGCCAAGTTCTCAGCTGTGTTGCTGGGCAAGGCTTGTGCTTCACAAGTTCCTGATAGGCTGCTACGAGCATCCGCAATCCCCGCACCTCCAGCATCATCATGATGTCAATATATACCTTCTGAAACAAAGCAACCAGTGCAGAGACAGTAGGTGCGGTCTCCATTTTCTTTACATTCCGAATCTGACATCGATGGCAGGACATGACTTGATGGGGCGATATTGTTATAGAGTTGAGGCCAGTAGAATCACATCTTCAATGCCTCCCAAATAGCTTGGGTTCAGGGATGCCCCAGTTCTTCATGTGCTTGTT